AACCTGCAAAGTGATGGCAAAAGTCCCAACCGTATTTCAGCTTTACAGCTATGTTGATGATGAAACAGGCTCTTTGTGAGAGCCAAAAGTAGAACAAAGCATTTTTATCATGCTTGATACACAAGAGAAAGAAATTGAAACCATAGCATGTGGTTGGCTTCTTGAGAGGAGGAAAGGAGCGGGAGTGGTTGGATGTGGACTCTCATCCAAGTGCACATTTGTTGCTTCGTGACATCAGGAGCAGCTCTTTACCAGGAGTGGGAAGAAGACGCAGGTGGGGAATCCTTGAATCTGCTTTCTATAGAAGCAGACAGGATGTATCTTCTCCGACCCCTTGATACTATTCTATTTATGTCAGGCCTTCTGGGTGACTGTGCTCAGATTCTTATTTAAATCCAATTAAATATGGGACTTGAGTAAACACAGATGTATATCATGCAGAAGATAGTAGTAAAGGATTCTGTATATAGGCCAGAGCAGCTGTATCTTTTCTGCTATTTAAGGTTTGGGTTTTTTCTTAGTATCTTGGGAAGAAAATGTGGCAGTAAATATTGGCAATTTTAATTTTATACAAAACCAGAGTCTCTTTTTTTGCTAGTCTTTCCCCTTCACCTAGGCCAGATTGACTTTATTAAAACAATCTGATGAGGCCCCTCTCCTTCCAGTGGCTCCCCACTGTCCACAGAGTAAAGTTCATTCCCGGGGGGACCTCAGACTCCCTTCTTGGTGGGTTCCTCCTTGGCTGCATAGCCTAACATCCTGCCACTTCTCTGCTCACAAAGAATATTTCATCCAGTCCAGGTGCGGTGGCTCAGGCCTGTAATCCCAGCATGTTGGGAGGCTGAGATGGGCAGATCACAAAGTCAGGAGTTCAAGACCACCCAGGCCAAAATAGTGAAACCCCATCTATACCAAAAATACAAAAAAATTATCTAGGCGTAGTGGCACACGCCTATAATCCCAGCTACTCAGGAGGCCTGAAGCAGGAGAATTGTTTAACCTGGTAGGCAGAGGTTGCAGGGAGCAGAGATCAGGCCATTGCACTCCAGCCTGGGTGACAGAGCAAGACTCTGTCTCAAAAAACAAAAAATAAATAGAATATTCGATTCAATGCAGACTTCTGGGGTGTCCTCAGTTCAGAGCTATTTCATCTCTGCACACTTTACCTACCTCCTTTGCCTTGTCTGAAAATCAGAATCATGGAGTTTGGAGCAAAACTGCCACCCATTATAGCTCTGGGTCTTTGTTAGTGGTGTGACCTTAGGCAAATGACTTAATCTCTTTGTGCCTCAGTTTTCTCTTGTCCAGTAAAAGAATGGTAGTGGCTATCTCACAAGGTTGTTGGCCTTAAATGAATTAACATGTAAAATATGCAGAGTAGTGCCTGGCACATAGGAAATAGTTAATATTTTTAACTTCTACATATCCTACAAGACTAAGCCTAAGTATTATTTTCTGTGAGAAGTCTTACCTGAAAAAGCCTCCCGTCCCCTGTATGGGAAAGTCAATTTGTTTAATTCTTCATTTTGTCTGCATCTCCTATCACTGCATTTATGGCCCTCAACTCCCAATCCACAGCCTCTCATCCCCACATCCGTTATCATGTATGCATGTGTGTGCCTGATCCTCAAGTAGCATTTGAGCTCTGTAAGGAATGCTACTCCATCTTAATAGGCCTATACTTTCCAGTGGGTAGTACAATAACCCCTACATGGCAGCTGTTCAGTGAGTGTCCAACGGAAGCATCAGAGAGCACGTAGGAATGGGACTACATGTACACTGTCTCCGTATTGAACTGTTTCTAGAAAGAAGTTGCTGTGGTTTGATGTGTCCCTCCAGATCTCGTGTTGGAATGTGATTCCCAGTGTTGGATGGGGCCTGGTGAGAGGTGACTGGATCATGGGGATGAAACCATCATGAATGGTTTACCACTATCCCCTTGATGACAAGTGAGTTCTTGCTCAGTGAATTAACCTGAGATCTGGTTGTTTAAAAATCGGAGCCCTCCTCCACCACCCTGCTCTCTCTTGCCCAACCAGCTCCCCCTTCACCTCTGGCCATGACTGTAAGCTCCTTGAGGCCCTCACTAGAAGCAGATGCTAACACTATGCTTCTTGTACAGCCTGAAGAATGATGAGCCAATTAAACCTCTTTTATTTCTAAGTCACCCAGCCTCTGGTATTTCTTTAGAGCAAAGCAAAAACAGACTACCACAGAAGGCTACCTGTAAAGTATAAAACTTTAAATTAATTTGAAATTTAATATTTGCATAGTTACTTTTGCCAAAGTAAACCATTAAAAAATCATCACACATCACAAAACTTTAGCTTTATACATCAGCATTTCAGCATGCCGTGAACATAGATGTGCGGTACATCTATCAGTGAAAAACTAAATGTGGAACATAACCAGCCTGAGAATGATCTAGGTAACCTTGGGTAAGCCACTTAATCTCATTATCATCTAACGTATAAACTAGGAGTAATGATACAATATTTGTCCTGTCTACTGTGGGTGGGGGTTATAAGAAGATGAGGCCAAATAGTATTTGTGGACACTTCTGAAATTTTACACTGTCAGATGTAAGATTATTCTCAATCAAGAGTGATTTTGCACCACCACCCTCCCAAGGATATTTAGCAATGTCTGGAGACATTTTTGGTCATCTCAAATAGTGGAATGCTACTAGTAGAGGAATGCTGATAAAAAATATTTTAAATCTGCATTGCACAGGACAGCTGCTCGACAAGGAATGATCAGGCCCAAAGTGTGAACAGTGCTAAAGTTGAAAAATCCCGACAAAAGGCATGCTATGGCATTTCTTAATACTCAGTCTATTAAAATTTGTTCTTATGTCTTTATTGAAGACAATGAAACATAGCAATGATACCTAACTTTTATAAACTATATCTCAGTGACTCGTGTTGAATTGTAGCTTTTCAACCTGCCGTTCTGGCCGTCTTAGTTAACTAGCTATTAGTATTGAGCCAGGTGTCATTCTATGCACTTTACCTGTATCAATTCATTTAACCCTAACAACAACCCTATAAGGTAAGTACTTTATTACCCTTGTTTTACAGACGAGGAAGCTGAGGCAAAGTGACAAAGTAGGGTTTGAACTCAGTCTCGCTCCAGAAATTATGCAAAGAGTATGTTAAAGCTAAGTTCTTCCATGCTGGGTCCCCCACTAGGAATCATCTGACTTCCTGTCCTACATGGTTTTTAATGGTATTTTTTTTTTTTTTTTTGTTATCTTTGGCAGAGAAATTGACTCTGGCTTATTCAGTCTTCTTAACAGAGGACCTACTGATTTTGAGATAATGGACTGATTAGAGAGGAAAATAACAGCAACACAAAAAGGGGAATAAGAAAATAAACCTCTGAAGAATTTGACATTTGAGTCTAGTGATGTATGTAAAGGCACTTTGCAAGTTGCAGGGCAGTGGTTTTCAAACTATGATGTGTTCCAGAACTACCGGGACAGCTTGTTAAAAATGCTGACTTCCAGTGTCACCCTCAGAGATTCCGATTACACAAATCTGGGGCCTTGCCCAGGAATCTGCCTTTTTAACAAGCTCCCAGGTGACCTTGATGCAGGTGGTCCAAGGTGCTCACCTTGGAAACACTGCTGTACGTATGGGGCTTAGAAACAAGGTCTAGAAAATCTCAGAATACTTGAGTTTTGCCTGTACAGTAATTCAGACCACCTGAGTGCTAGCTTATTAGTGCTTTTCTGTCTGGTTCCCTGGTAACTCACTAGCTTTAGGCCAAGGAGCTTGATCGAGGGGGTATTGATGGGGAGGGAGGAGAGGAAAAGAAAAGAATAGGGGCAATTAAAACCACCTTCCCACTGAAGTGATTGTTTCTCTGCAGACAATGAAGGGGCTGTGGAGCACCTTCTTCCTTCAGTGTCTCCCTAATTGGCTGTTGTGACTATCATTCTGCCCTGAGGGAGGTTAATAGAAACAAGAGACAGAAGAAAAAGATGCCAAATAACTTGGAGCAGAACAAAAAATGAGCCGGAGCTCATTTCCACTAGGACAGAGAGAAGCCCTGATTGGTCTCTTTCCCTAAGGTCCTCTTTCACACATCTCTATGACCTTTCCTCTTCTTTTTTCTTTTCTCCCTCAGAGGGACCAATAAACATGGGCTGTCTGGACAAGCAGTGCTCTATTAATGATCCAGGGAAAATTCCGATGACCCAGAATTCTGCCATAAAATGATATCATGTTATTGCAAAGTGATAGTGTTCTCAACCTTCTTGCTGAACCACATTTTTTTTTTTTTTTTTTTTTTTTGGAGATGAACAACTGGCAGAGGATCTTTTATTCTGAGCATCCAAGAGACCAGTTATTTGGATTTTAATACTGGAGCGTTATATGGCATGCATTGACAAAGTATGCTATAAACAACTCACCTTTCACTGAACTAAGTAATTTAAAGTGATTTTAGCAATATAGTATGGCATTGTGATTAAGATTGCCTGGCTTCAATCCTAGCTCTGCAAATTGCTGTGTGTCCTCAAAGGTGACTTTACATCTCTAAACTACAAGTTCCAATCTGTAAAGCTGAGATAATAATAGAACCTCCCTCCCAACATACACACACACACACACACACACACACACACACACACACACACCACCAAATCAGACAATACATGCAAAACATAGTGCCTCACCCACAGTATGCCCACAATAATGTTGGTCTCCATTGTTTTTTAGTTTTCGGAATTATTGTTTGGTATTTCTAAACTAATAATTGCTGAATTGCTTTACAAAAAGATAACAAGAAAAAGAGAAACATTTTTTAAGTGTTTCCACTCTATTAGCACTGAATTTCAAATGCTCATAGCACACTGTAAGCAGAACAACAGATGGATTCCATCCAACGGGAAGGACACGCAACTTAGGAAGCAGACAGACGTAAAACAAAATAAATCACTTAGTTGCTTACCACACACATTGTGAGATACTGAATGTGGATTAGAAATTGCTTACCAGTAGTTGGGCTCCGTTTCTTGAATGGTTTTATATTTCCAGACTGCAAACAAATGATTGTATGTGTGAAAAGAATATGTCATAGGCAGGAGGACAAATTCAAGTGAGCCAGAATGCCAAGGGCTCTGGAGTTCTGCTGTGTTCTTTTGGAGCTCTCTGCACCGGGTAAATCCTGAGTGTAGGCTTGCTGACAGCTGTCTCATTCACACGCAGGTTCCTCCCGGGTCCGAGAGCAACAGCCCCCAGTCAGTGCAGGGTTACTAAGCAACTATACTCCCACTGAGTTATGCAATAAGAGAAAGTCTTGATTTTAAAAACAAAAGAAAACCAAAAAGCCCTGGTACACAGAGCTAATAATACAACCCACTCTTCTCCATTGAGTACATTAACCCTCAAGCTAGTTTACCTTTACCAGCATATCACAACCTTGCAGAAATCAAATTAGAAAGAATGCTGCAATTGTATAAAGTAACTTCAAGTAATGTTTTAAATTACTGCTAATAAATTTCATGTTAAAATGGCACCTCATATGATGAATGTGTATCATCTCTCGCTGGGCATCTGAATGGAGGGCAATTGTCATTTAAATAATGGTTTTAGCAACTAAGTCAATGTTTAGTTTGGAACTTAAATTTTTTTCATTGTTTTCGTATTATGTAAGTTATACATTCTTTTGTGTTTTTTTTTTTTGAGATGGAGTCTTGTTCTGTAGCCCAGGCTGGAGTGCAGTGGCACGATCTTGGCTCACTGCAGCCTCTGCCTCCCAGGTTCAAGAGATTATCCTAACTCAGCCTCCTGAGTAGCAGGGATTAGAGGCACATGCCGCCACACCCGGTTCCTTTTGCATTTTTAGTACAGATGGGGTTTCACCATGTTTGTCAGGCTGATCTCAAACTCCTAACCTTGTGATCTGCTTGCCTTGGCCTCCCAAAGTGCTAGGATTACAGGTGTGAGCCACTGTGCCCAGCCAGTTATACATTCTTATGACAAAAATTATTATTTTTGAAGTAGCTAATACAAAGATAATAACAAAGAATCATTGACTAGATCTTTAGAGTTTAAGGATTCCAAATAGATCTCTACATGTTTATATATTCCCTACACATCGCCTTAGGAAGACACAGGGAAACACTTTCTGGTTTGATTAACATTTGCTAAGAACTCAATTTGTGCAGAGCACCATGCCAGACACTAGAGTTGAAGAAGGTGAAGGAAGAAGATGTACAAAGAAACAATACAAGGTCCAACCATTCAAAGAGGTGTTGTATAGCTTTAATTCGGGAGATAAACTTGTATACAGATACTACAAGAAGCATTGAAAGGAGGAATTAGGAAACTCTGAATGATGTAATAATTATAGAAATCACTAGCTTCAAATTGCCAAATTAGAACATTATGGTTCTAGTCTACTAAGATAGGGCAGGAGAGCAGAACAGAGGGAATGTTAAAGAATTAGAGCTCTCAAATAGAAATGTAGCTGGGTCTGACAGCATTCTATACCTTCCAACCTTTTCAACGTTATGGTGTGTGTGCATAGACAGATGATAGATAGATAGATAGACAGAAAGACAGACAGATAGATAGATACATACATACATAGATACATAGATAGAGATAGATAGATAGATAGATAGATAGATAGATAGATAGATAGATAGATGATAGATAGAGACAGATAGATAGAATTTTATTTTTACAATCCATCAGGCAAAAAGGACTTGTGTCAAAGGAAAACAAGTCCCCTAGGCCTGGTCCACTGCTTCCAAGGTTAACAGGTCTGGTGCACCTGAGGTCCACCATATCTATTGGGAAGCTCTGTATATTTGAGACATGGTCCTTACGTGGATTTGCCCTGTAGAGAGTTGGAATCTCAAATATAATAGAAAGGAATGTTGGCCCAACACAGCTGACTATGGTGTTTGTGGTGTGGCATAGATAGCAAGGCAATCTGAGCCGGGTGGAGCTCCAGCCTCAACCTCACTAGCTTCCATCACATTGGCAAGTTGGCTCACTTCTCTAAGCTTCATGAAAATGTCACTAATAAAATGGATTGCCCTGCTGAGCCATGTCAGAGCTTGAAACAAAAGGAAAATTGCATGTTCCTATAAACATGATCAAAATAACCCTTTAAAAAAAAATCAAATGGGAATAGTTAATTGAAGCTTTTTACTGACAAGTCATGACTTCCATTTAAAGGTCTGCATTGCCCAATCTGTTTGCATGGCATTATCAACCCTAATAACTCAGCTGGTGGGGATGCTGCTGATCGGAAATGACTGTGACTATTGCACAATAATACAGAGTTGTAGAACAAAACAACCTGTTCTTATTTAAAATTATGATGTTTAAGCTTTGTGAATGCTTGGCATTAATTTAAAAAAATATATTGCATTAAAATATTATACACATTGAGTGGTGAGGTTTTTGCTTCCCCATTAAATGTCGCCTTACTCTCCTCACTCTAATTGGAGTGCCAAAAAAGTACCACTGTAACTGCAAATGAAGACTATAAAATATCTGTACTTAAAAATAATAGTCATTGCTAAATGATTTTATAATACCTAAGAGATTCCTTAGCCTTTACTGAATGTGTTTTCTGAGAGTCCCTGACAAAGCAGTGTGAGAAAGAACAATACGCAGTTTATTAAACATGCTGAAAAGATACACAGTGAGTTCTGAAATCAGCCTCCGATCCTGTCACCAAGGAAATGCTGATGACCCTTAACCAGAATATACAAGGGAAAGGTGCTGGCCCAGCTGGGATTTCCCTTCCTCCAAGTTCTGGGAACCCTCTTGTGTATCCAAGACAATCTGCTCTCTGATGTCCCCCCACCCCCACATCGCTTTAGACTCCCAACAATTAGATAGCTTTTAGTCTTTGCTTGTACCAAAAATGCTCAAAGTACTGAATTTTCCAATAGATTTCCATTAAAAACTCTGATTCCCTCCTTCAGGTTCAACAAAATCGGAAAGAACAGTTTGACTAATTGTACCATCCTTCCTTCTGTCTTCCTCATAAGTAACTCTTCTGTCTGGCCCAATATTGATGCTCTGCGGAGAGACATAAAGATTTTAATTCCTCCTTTGGCAGGAAGAATAACTTCCTGACAAGAGTTTGACCCAATGTGTTTCCCTGTTAGCAGGTTCACAGTGGCGGCTTCTTCCCTCAGCAGCAGCAGCAGCAGCTGGAAAGTATTCCTATGAAACACTTCATGTGCAACGCTGTGAGAGCTACAGAAAATAAACTAACATGAAACATCATCTGCCTTTGCGTCTGAGGATGATACCCCAGAGCAATTTGATGGCAAGCACAATAAAGGCACCAATGTGCAATTGCATTAAACAAATACTAAAACATTAGCGCATTGACTATTTCTAATTATCTCCATTTATTCTGTAACGTGGTGTCTAGAGGAAATGGTTCTGTGATAATTCTGCAAGATGTTGCTTTCAGCCTAGGAAGACAACTAAATAGGTACTACTTTAGCTTTTCATTCTCTTGGTTGTTCAGAGTGAAAAAAGAAAAACAATTCCAACTTGTTAAAAATTAAAAAAAAAACTGCCCATCAAAAGAGAAAGTGCTTACAAAAGGAAAGGCTTGACAAAAAGTAATATGTAGACGTAGCACCAGGCTTCTCACTTCTGATGAATTTGCAGCCTAAATACTAAAATAGGCTGTTTCCCATTTCACCTTGTTTCCACAGAGACCAGGGCTGACAAAGAGCCGGTCACCAACAGTTACCGTCCTTTGTCTGCCCTGGATGCTGGAGGCTGCATGAGCAGAGAATAAGCAAATGTGGGATAAAATGTAAGCTGCTGATTTCATTCACACTTGGAACCTTATCTCTCCCACATCTCAGTCACTAAGAAGCTCTCAGATTTGCCTCAATCTGACTCATTTTACTCTGGCTTTTCTTCCATCTACCTTTTCTTCTTTGTGTGTAAGAAAAATAACACAGTTAACACATGGAAAGATAGAAAGCAACAAGTTAAGAATCACTGAGAATTTCCAAATTTTTTAAAAAATCATCATCAAATAAATACCAAATAATATTTGGAGATAGTTTCTTTCAGATTTTTCCGACTCCTTCTCCTTATATATTTATCCTCTATGTTCTTTCCCACTTATCTTAAATACCACTGAGAAAGTGAATTCCCAACTATCCATAGGTGTGTTTCTAGACACAGTTCCAGTGATTTCTTCCATATTAACTTGGAGAGTTCTGAAGACTCTTATAGATCCTTTGTAATGTGAGGAATTCCTTCAGAGGAACTGGGGGAGAGGATCAGTCTGCTATGAGCATGAGGACTAGGTCTCCCAGCCCTCTTTTTATCAGACCAGCTTTTATTTATTTATTTTTTTTTAATTTGGACTTCTGTGTGAGATTTTGTCTTAATAAAGGGCTTTGTGGCAAAAATAGAGTAAAATAAAAATATCACATATTCTGTTTCATCTTTCTGTAGGGTATGTGAAATTTTGATGTTATGCTTTTGTAGCAGCCATTTGAATGTGACACTATTGATATTACTGTTTTCTAGTGATGATGCTTCATACTAGAAAATGATATATATAATATATTGTTTTATATATAATATATGTAATATATCATTTTCTAGTCTATTTCTTTAGACTTAAAGAGCAATGATATATATATATATATAAATCATACCTGAGTACTATGTAAAATAGATTACCTCACCTATTTCCTGAGCCAACTCTGGCCACAGTCACTCTCTTCAGATGTCCCCTACGATGTCTTCGTCCATTCCAGGGAGAGAACAGAGTTCTCACAAGGCCTGGGCTCATCCCTGGCGGCACTCATATCACTAGTAATGGGAAATCCAGATGTACTCCCTAAGACCAGAGAAATCCACAGTGGCTGAACCCAACTTGCCACCTAGAGACTGACTGAATACTGCATGATTTTTCCTGTCATAGTAACTGCCATATGCAAAATACAGAACTTCAGTGTCCCAGTTACTCCATGTCTGTCTTTATCACCACCCTACTGCTGGACTCTCCTCCCTTAAGTACCCCATACTCACTAATGAGTTCTTTAGGCCTCTCCATACTCATTTTCTGCTCCAACAGTATCAATTTCCAGGATTACTGAGAGAAGGACTACTCTTTCTGGGTTGGTGAAATACCCACTCTATAAACCAGCATGTGGCCTTCCCTCATGACCCAAGCAAGAAAATAGTGAAAAAGTTGTACACTGACCTAAACTATTACCTATTTGTATGTAATATGCTTTATCTATCCTACCCGTGAATACTTCATCAGAGAAGCCAAGGAAGCAAAGAAATCTGTGCATCTTCTGAGAGTCTGGCTCATTTACATATTAAATGGTCTGGCCCTTGATACTGTGATTTCGCTCTTGATGGGGCTATGTTCTTGTTCATTTACATTCAATTAATAAATGATTTGACTGTTTACTAACGGCACTTACTGAGGATCTAAAAGATATACACTTCCATTTTTGTGGACTTTCTTATTATTCTAAATCTATTTGAATGAATGCAAACTAGGTACAGTGGGGCAGTAGATGTTGGAATGGGGGGATATTCAGATCTCATATAAATGATGACCATTTATTCAATACTTTCAATGATTGTGTTAATCATATTAGATTTATAGTCATAGTTAATAAGGATAAAATAAATGTATTATAGGAGCTAAGTTATTACAGGCTCTTAAAATATTTTATTGAGTTAACATGACTGTAAAATTGATATATATTTAATTTTAAAATGCCGACAGTGTAGTATTAAACAAAGTAAAAGTTTTTCCTCATTGGTATAAGGGTTAAAGATAGAATAAGGGTCAAGAATCTTTTCAATACACATTTCTTGGTAATAAAAAATGTATTTTATACTATAGCAGGGTCCTTCTGGTATGATTGTATAAAAATATCTCAGATTATATGTCTACACCAAAATCACAGAGTTTTAATTGCTGTAGTTACAAAAA